GGCTGTAACAGACTGTCAAAGTGCTCCGCATATCATACCCGACCTGTAACAGAACCAGCCCACACCTACAGGTGGAGTATAGCCCTGTCAGGGTATTTGCAGGGTCCTTTTATGCTTTCAATTCAGATTTACTCATACTACTGTATTATTTTTACTAACTCATGTCTAGTTGTAATTATTACAAGCCTGATCAGGGTTTAATTTTGATCTGTTAATGACTTTTAATCAAAATATTTTTCAATAATTTTAATCAAAGCATTTGTCCTGAAACTCCCTTCAATTTTCACCTCCTTTTTCTGCTTGCTAATTCTCCACATTAATTTACACAGTGGTTTGCATTATTTCATTCCAAATCCATTTTCCCCCATAAGATCCTTTATTTTCCTCTTACTTCTTTTTATCATCACTGTCTTCCGACTTCTTCAGTGCATTTAACAGAGCCTGTATTTACACTTCTATGGGCTTCCATTCATCATCCTGGAGACCGTCAGGTCCCCCTCTTGTTATAATTTCTCCCTATCAAATTCCCAGTCCAATATGCTGCTTTTAAAGACAATTTAATAAATTTAACCCAGCCAATGCAGAATTCGAGATTCCCCTAACTTCTCGGGCCTCAAACCCAGTCACTAGACCTCGTCCAGGATCTATCAACCTTCTATCAATAGATCGGCGCGACCACCTCGCAGGGAAAAAATTTACCTATGACCAATCGCTCAATTCGGGGTTCCCCTACCTCCCCGAGGATATCAAACTCAGCCTATACCGGTCCCCAACACGGTTAAACTGTAAACCCGTCGGCATACAGTGGGCACGGCCAACCGCAGGGAAAAACAATCAACTTGTGACACAGGCGTGTCCCATACACTGCCCCTGCAACTGGGGTGTCAAACCACAGCTGTTCAAATTGAAATTTGTGAGTAAATCCTTATGTTATCTCAGTCTGAGTAAATTTGTATAAAACCAATCAGGCTTTTTTCAATGGGAGCCAAACCCTTTTTTCAGCCGGCTGTCTCAGACTTTCGACAACTAAAAGACACTCTAGTTTCCAAATAATTGTCCTTCCGCTATCCCGGACGAGCCCCCAAATTGTGAAGTCTCATACTTCTTCTCGAGTCCAGATAGCGGAAAGAATATTCAGTCACAACACCACATATCAAAGTGCACTATAACCTTTATTATTTTTGTAGATATATCTGGAGATCATACGGCAAGCAGCAGGGCAGATGATCTGAAGTCACATCACCAAAACTGTGTGTTATATACTATTCTTCCCTCCTTCTAGCACATTCCTGCAGCATGCAGCTGGAAATTATCAGTACTCTCCCAAAGATATTCTTGTAGGATGCAGCTGGTAATTATCAATACTTTTCCAAAGATATTCCCCCAAGCACAACTCCCTAATTCCAAAGTAGTACATTCTGTAATTAAATGAACACACATATTGCTAATAATTGAGTGAACACACACACCTACTTCTACTAAAATTGAAGGTTATATTCCTTATTAGTATGAAACAGTGCTCATGCTTTAATCTGTGTGAAAGTTGTATTCCTTATAAGTGCATAGAAAATGATGCTGGTGATTCAGTTACAGTGTCTATTCCTTATATGTGCATAACAAACGGTGCTGGTGCTTGAGTTGCAGTGTCTCACACAACTTAATATCCAACATATCTTAAATTCTCATTATTGAGTGGGGTCTATGATTGTGATAGGATGCAAGGGAATCTTTGTTTTCTTCTGTGTATTAGTTACCCCCTAATGTTATGATTAACCAATAAAAGCTTGCTACACATGATGTTTATGCATTTCCACAATTCTGTCTGCTCAAACTCTCTCAGTTGCGTTGAATCAGCTTACACATACGGCATACATATAGACGTCACTGCAATAAAAAACCCGCTTACACGCGGTAACCCTTTTTGTGTTTTTAGTTCATTTTTCCCTAAAGTACTCAGCTCTGTACTTGACCCTTGAGGGAGTGGTTTTGGAGGGGGCCTCTCACCTCTCGAAACGCCAGGTAGCTTCATCTGGGGAAAATTGGACATTGATTTAGGTTGACATGATTTTGGTCGTGTCAAAAGGGGGAATTGTTAGGTATTTTTAGTCAGATAGACATTGGTTAGACACTTCATGTATTAGAAATGTTTAGTGTAGACAGGATGTCTAGCTCAGACTGTTAAATGCTTAGTCATTCCCATGGGGTACTCCAGGTTGTTTATGTTCAAGGATAACTACATAAAAAGTTGATTACTGTTAGGAGACAGAATGTTTATTATTATTATTATTATTATTATGACGTGTTTAATCATAATCGTAATCATAATATTTTCTTATGCTTAATGTAATGACATGTCGCTTGGTCCATCTTCCAGCTGCCTGCGTGCATGTTAGAGGTGCAAAGACTCCTGAGTGTGTAATGTTAATTTTACCTGTGATCATTGAATAAATCAGCACTGTTTTGAAGTTACTCGGACTGCCTCGTCTCTCAGAGTTAACGTGGTGAAAAGAATGGGGGTCAACAGCAGCTTCTAACAAGGTTTTCTTCCAGGATTACCCTGTATTTAGCTACATCATCTTCCCATTAACTGACCAGCTTCCTTGTCCCTGCTGAAGAAAAGCATCCCTACAGCATGATGCTGCCACCACCATGTTTCACGGTGGGGATGGTGTGTTCAGGTTGATGTTTAGTGTTAGGTTTCCGCCACACATAGCGCTTTGCATGTAGACCAAAAAGTTCAATTTTGGTCTCATCTGACCAGAGCACCTTCTTCCACTGGTTTGCTGTGTCCCCTACATGGCTTGTGGCAAACTGCAAATGGGACTTCCTATTGCTTTCTTTCAACAATGGCTTTCTTCTTGCCACTCTTCCATAAAAGCCAGATTTGTGGAGTACACGACTAATAGTTGTCCTGTGGACAGATTGTCCCACCTGAGCTGTGGATCTCTGCAGCTCCTCCAGAATTACCATGGGCCTCTTGGTTGCTCCTCTGATTAATGCTAGTTTATGTGGACAGCCATGTCTTGGTAGGTTTGCAGTTGTGCCATACACCATGTATCATTTTCTTTCCACTTCACAATTATGCAATACTTTGTGTTGGTCTATCACATAAAATCCCAATAAGATACATTTAAGTTTGTGGTTGTAACGTGAAAAAATGTGAAAAAGTTCAAGGGGTATGAATACTTTTGCAAACCACTGTATATATGATTAGACTAAAACCCCACAGGAGCTCTAATCACGTATAAGTTGTCAACTCAAGTTCCCCTCTCTGGCTAGCTGGTAATAATGTTTAACAAGTTTAAAAGCTTGGTTTAGTGTGTTGTCATACTAATCTATGCTGATACAAATTAGCACAGAGGATGAAGCTGATGAGAATGACAGTTTGCAGGTATTATATTATAAACCAGAAGTATTGCTCAAATCAAACTTTTGACCTGATGATGGTGCTGTCACCACCCAGACGTCCACTGAGCAGAACTGATATCCCTCCTACGCTGAACAAGTCCCAACAAGTGAAGGTCATTTGATTTGGAATCATTTCTAAAAACTGAATTGTACATACAGTGTATGATGCAAGTAGTGGAATAGTGGATCAGTGGTTTGATTTGTTACCTCACAGCGAGAAGGTTCTAAGGTTGAACCTCAAGGGTGACTGTAGCCTTTCAATGAGGAATTTGCATGTTCTTCTTGTGCGTGCAGGGGCTTGCTCCCATAATCCAAAGACATGTAACCATCTATAGAATAAGAGATATGGACAATGGGTGGATGTATGCTATGAATATTATGACATTAAGTTTATTTCAGTGAAGATTTTATAGTGACTGGCCTTATGGGGGTGCTGTAAATAAAGGACACCATGTTAGTGTACCATAATGTTTTAGACATTGATGTTGCAATTTTAATTAAATCTGGTCCATTCAAGAACACTGTAGGGACCTGACAGTCTGATGGGGAGGCTTTTATTAAATGTCAAAATCGCAAAGAAGCATCCTGTTGGGCATGAGCTTTTGAGGGTTGATATATTTCACTTGGTCTCTTTTGCATGAATGGTCATCAGATGCACAGTATACTTGACCATAAGTTACTATAGATCATTGTGATAAATGATCTGTTCAGAAATACATTGTGGTTTGTGTATTCTAAGGTGTTGCACTTTAAATGTGTTGGGCTCTTTAATTGCAGGCCCTCCCTCATTGGATCTACGTACCAGGAACTGATGAGTGGGGGTCTAGGGGTATGTAATGCATTGTGTTTATGTGACTTGAACCATGTTAATAGTGTAAAATGTCACATTCACCTGTGGAAGTCATGGTGTTAATTCCTGGGATATACAAAGTTACCACAACAAGAAGCTTAGCATTTCCATTTAGTTATTATCTTCCTAGTTCCAGACATAACACACTCACCTTACAGTTCACACTTCAAGCTTCTAATGTCATGCCACCAGCATGCAAATAAAAACCAACATTTGTAACTAGAAAGAAGACACTCAGTATGTTGATTGTTCTTTATTTTCTGTTTGCATGACTGCATAGTTTGTTTCCAAAGGCAAATGCAGATGAAACCAGTCTATTTCCAGTCCAGAGAAACCACAGAGTGATTGCTAACAGGCTCTGTTTTGCACATAGAGTGGTGTGTACGTTCCTTAAGTTACAAGATCGCTGCTATTACAGTCCACTTTGCTGTTATTTAATGTGTCTGTAGGGGCAGCATTTAGGGTATTTGTTGAAAAAAAATGAAAAAAGGTGTGTGTGTGTGTGTGTGTGTGTGTGTGTGTGTGTGTGTGTGTGTGTGTGTGTGGATGAGGGAACTAAAGAGAGAAAGCAAAGTGAGGCTAAGCTGAGATTTCCTGAAGAGTGTAATTACAGCAGAAAGAGCAGGCATCTGTCACTGTGATTAACACAGTGCACTGAGCTAGGATTGGGCCATTATCACAGACGAGGCAGAAAGAAGAGCTAGGACGATCCCTTGCTTTCCATTTTTAATTGTGTGAACAAGATTGCCTTAGTCAGCATGATAAGCTTCTTCACCTTTCTAGAAGCAGTTTGTAGAAATAAAGTGCTTATATGAATGTGTGTTTGTATGGAAGATACTGTGCTGGTTTTCTTCCTACTTCTTCACCACGCCACCTTTGCTGTCCATGGTGACAGGTATTGTGGTCTGTGAGGACTCGATGGCCGGTCTGATCAAAGGAGCCTCAATGGTTAGCACCCCCTCAGGAGACAGGGAGGAAGTCACCTTCTCAATGTCAGCTGTCGGGGGGAGGCTGAAGCAGAGTAATACAACACAGTTAGGCTATGATTATGAAACCACTCCAGTGAATTTCCAGAGCTCCAGTTTTGATGCAAATCACTGCCACTACTAAAAGCCAGGCTTATCAATGCTGGAAAATCAGAAACAAGACCAGCTTAGTTTGTCTCCTCAGTGTGTGTTGTGGCCCCTGGATGGCAGCAGAGCCCTATGAAGATGGAAAACTCAGACAGAGGAGGGGATGAACACTGGGAGGTAGAGAGCAGCAGCTGTTGTTGCTTTTCAGAGCATGAAATTCAGCTATCAGCAGCAGCCACTCTCTACAGGCCAGACCAACCCAAAACTAAAGAGACTCACAGCAGTAACGCCATGATAAGAAAATCATAGGAACTGGAACTCAGCCTGACAAAAACATTTTCTCCATGACATTTTACTGCAAAACCACCATCACAAAGCCACAACAAACTCATTTTTTATAGGAAATTTGGTTTTTAGCAAGTTGTTGACATATTGCATAATTTATTTTTTTTATTAACCACTTTCCACATAACCTCAAAAAATGATCAAGAACAAAACTTATTTGAGTTAAATTGGATTGTGCAAACCTGACCTTTGATAATTCATGAAGTAATGAACATTGAGCTACTTACGTGTATTTCCTGGTGAAGCTTCTGGACACAAAACCTTGCTCATCCTTCCTCTCCTCATGTTTGCCTATGGACACAAACACACTTGTTCTTAAATGTGTTAGAGTTTACCCAGTTCTTTTATTGAAAGCACGAGAAGTGAAGACAGGAGCGTATAAAATCAACAGGAAGTTTACTCAAAGTCTGGGCACAGGTGAAGTCATACAGTGCTGGGATCAGAGAGACGGAGCTAATGCAGGAAATCCGTTCTGTGAACCATGAGTTACTTTTTCTCATTACATTTATCTTCTCGGGCTGAGTCCGCCCTGTACAGAGGTGCAATGTTTCACGCTTCGTAATCCTATTGGCCATTTGGCATGAGCAGGTCAACCCCTGCTTCATGACAGTTTACTGTACCTGTGTTAAGAAACCAAATGTGTGTATGTTGTAATTTTCAGGCAGTAGCTAGTATTCTGAGTACTGAACAACTGGTTGTCTGCGCTGCAGACCCCCTATCTGTATAGGCTATGTTAGGTTATTTCCTAGTTAGATAGATATTCAGAGATTTGTTGTCTAGAAATGTTTAGTGCAGACAGGTTGACTAGCTCAGGCTGTTAACTGTTCAGCCTGCAGTGCAGACTGCAGGCACGTCAAGGTTACAGGAAAAGAGCTGTTAGGGTCAACTGTAATGCTAGTCTTAATATTTGTCTTAATGTGTAAGGTTATGTCCAATTGTTTAGATACACACCACGAAAACAACAGTCACGCACCTTGACTTTTCCTCATGTTTTGGCTAAACGTTATAGCAGCTGCAAGGCTTGCTTATCGGGTGACGTCACGGTTCGACAGCCCAGAAAGGATTAATATTGTATAGCAATGCTTGGTTCGGGGTCTTTTGGGTTTCCGGGCTGCTTTGGCAGCCTGGGGGTTGGAAGATCTCTGGACTTGAAGTGTTGATTCTTGCCTGTGACTCTTTGAATAAACCAGCACGGTTATATTTTTTATATACTCAAGTGGTCTGAGTCGTCCCTCTGAGTTCCTGGTTTGAAAGAACCGGATGAGGCTTTATAATAGAATAGAGCCTTTAGCTATTACAGGACAAAGCAGGACCTAGTGAGTATGCTAATCGGGCCAGGTGGTCATCTCAGGTTGTAGGCCCCCTGTCTCTGCAAGATACCATGTGACAAAGCAGAACTTGGAATAAGCTAAGTGGGCCAACAGGTCTTTGTTAAAATGTAAAATAGGCCATCTGATTACTTGAAGGCACAGACATGTTGTCTTCACAGAATTTGTAGCATACAGTTCCCAAGTTTCACTCAGTAGAATATGGCAGTCACCAATACAGTTTAAATATATATAAGCAAGGAAAAAGAAAGTTCTGAAAAGTAACTAAAGGAAACTAAAGTTATGAAAAGTAACTAAAGCTTATAAAGTAACTAGAGCCTATAAGATTCAAATATTACAAATGTACTACAGTATTCATCTGAAAGTTATGTTCATTGCAACCATAAAAACAATGTATTACAGTGCAGCAGTTCCGCAAGAAGACATTTTGTATGTATGGTGGTGTATAGCAGTACCTCTGTGGCAGGGGACAGGATTTTGGTATTGATAGCCCAGCAGTGACACTGGTTGAGGTCAGACTGAGCAACTTGGAATTAAATTGATTAAGGGTTATAAGTATAAAGTTCAAGTCAGATTTAGGTAAGGATAAACTGTATTAATTTTCTTGCCAAAAGTTAGTTGAGAAGACTGATAGCATTCTTGCATCTGTAACAGTTGCTCTAAATGTGAAGCTACAGCCAGCAGACAGTTAGCCTAGTTTAGCACAAAGACTACAGAAGGAAAAAACTTATCCACCAATACCTCTGAAATGTACTAAACTCATTATAGCTCATTTGTACTGATGTGTAAAATTACACTAAACAGACAGACTTCCCTTGGAAAGACCCAGGCTAGCTGTTTCCCCCTGTTCCCAGCCTTTATGCTAAAATAAATCGCTCATGGCTATAGTTTCAAATTTATTATTACTTTGTGGTTTACTGCTACACATGCATGACATGTCATGACATTTTGGGAAATACTCACTTTTTTGGTTAGTTAGATGAAATGATTCTGCCAGTCTCATACATTCTCTGTTATATTCTTATATATTTTTTATTATATTGCTGCATTTGCTGCTTAAAGTGCCTTAGAATTTGTGTTACTTATTTATCTACTTTATATTTCATTTGTATTTTGTGGCATTCATGTGGACGGCAAAGTAAGAATTTAATTGTACAGGGAAACACCTTTCCTAACTGTGCATATGACAAATAAACATTTTGAACTTGAACTTGAACTCATGTGGATGCTGAATATGACACTGGTTAGTTGGTTAGCTTACTTTAGCATCATTCCTTGGTGAGGCACACTGACTTTTATGGGCTATCACCGTAAGGTTCCCTGGCATCTCTTATGCCAAGAATAGTTCAGTGTATAATCCCCATGACCCACAAAATAATAATAAATATGAAGTTAGAGCTAGGAGCTATTTTAGTCTAGCACAAAGACTATGGGGAACTATTAGCCTGGGTTTGCATGAAGCTAATAAAATCTGCCTACCAACACCTCTAAGAGTAGCTTTAACATTTACACTGTTGTTAAATTAAACAGGGCATGCTGTGTTGAGGAAATGGTGGAGGTGCCAGTCTGCTGGAGGTACCCTCATATCTCCAACATGATAGTGGTATCAATCTTCTCATCTAACTTTTGCCAAGAAAGCAAATAAACATTTCCTAAAATTTTATGATGTTTGTTTATTTTATGCTACGCTGTATGTGTAATAGTGATGCATATGACATTGCTTATAGTACAATGACAGTACAGTATGTCTCTGTGGAGGCCTTGATGGTATTTTATTTCAAATCTTGTCCAGCTCCAATCCATGTGGCCATACTGGCAACAGCAGTCACTATGTGCTGTCAGACTCTCACACACACATAAATGCCTGGCTCAACAGTAATGTTTGTGATGACAACGGGCTGATAAAGGCTGCTCTCCTATGGGAGCTGTCCTCTTCTGAACATTACAACACTGCCAGTGTGAGTGTGTGTCTGGGCCAAACACACTGCTATGTGAAGGGTCATTAGTTCTAAATATGCATGAAAATAACTGAGAAAAGGGCTTGAGGTTGCACTTTGAATATTCAAAACTCTACACCAAGGCCTATGACATCTTTAAACATGTTCTCTGGTGACATATGAACAGGAGGGGGAACATTCCACTTGGCCCAAATCCTATCTTGTGCTTTGTTTATCTTTGTTGCTCCTGACTGTCAAGTCAGATATTGGCCATAGTCAGGCCCTGTACCCTAGACCTGAACAGGATCCAGCAGTCCTTTTATAGTAGCAGACACTGGCTGAGTCATGGCTAAATCCCCTACTCTAAGAACTAATTCAAATTCTTTGCAAAAAGGCAAAGACTGACCCAGAGAAAACTGAGTTTAAGGCTTCAGAGAGCTAAGCTATTACATGATTCATTCCACACCTTCTTTAGGTTTGCACATTTGGTGCTTCATAAGCATGAAAACATTGCAGGATGAGAAGTGAAACCAGCTACAGTTTTGCAGTGTTATCTGTGAGCTGTAAAAGCCAACTCCCACATGTTGAATTGTGTTGTTTTGTATCTAGCAGACATGCATCCAAAAGCCCCTGCTCTCCCGTGCACTGGAAACCAATGTATTGTCTGAAGATGTTATATAACTCTGCAGCAATGCATCTGTCCTGTGTTTGGGCTGCCAAAAGGTTTTCCTGCCTTTTTATCTTGTCTGTTTGTTCAGTACTGTAGCAATTTCCATAAACCTAAAGAAACTAGACCAAGTCAGACATTCTCTTATGTCTCTGTACATATACTGTACATCCGTCCTGCACATAAACACAGTTCTAAGTGTTATTATATTGCTGCTGATTTTAGGGGTATTTTCCTTTAGCATACCAGGGTTTAATCTAAGAGGCTACAAAATACTCTACTCACTCCAGCTTGCAGTAAGTAAAAGTACATCAGTGAAGGAGAAACGTGGACTTACCATTGATTTCCACCAGTCCATCCTTGGTCTTCACCACTAGCTCGTCAGGCGAAAAGTGATTGACATCGAGGGACACTTTCCAGCTGTCTTGGGTCTGCTTGACTTCTGACATGCCACTGCTCATCTGGCGAGACAGGGCACGAGCCTGCTGGGCCAACATGGCACCAGGGTACATCATGGGAGAGTGGGGCATCATGGTGCCCATGTCTGGGGCCAGAATGGAGGGCCGCAAGTACCCTGGCCAGTGGGTAGTAGGGAATGTGACAAAGTCCTCTGGCAGAGCCGGCATACCAAAGGCCTGGTCAAAGATACGGCTGCTCTGGTGCCAGTCACGAAATGGGTCCCAGCTCGGTGTGCGGAGCAGAGTGAAAGGAATACGTCTCTCAGCCATGGCTGCTGTGATGATTAGGCAGAGGACTGTTGCTGTAATGGAGAGCTGCTGGCTGCAGGAGAAGAAACCTACGATCTCTCAGAGAATGTTTTCCTAACATACTATCTGCCTCTCAGCTGAGAGCTTATATACACACTGACACCACCCCTGTCAAAAGAGCCCTCCCTTCTGGCTCAAGCCCCTCTAGCTCACATGCCCAAGACATTTACAGAAAGTACCAGAATATCTATTTTTGGGAGACGTAACACTGGAATGGAATCCAACAGGAAGGCCCTCCCCAGTAACAGCTGCCCAGTGTACTGTTGAACCTTCCTTCCTCATGCTGTGTAATCCTCCCTTTTCCTTCTGCATGTCCCAGAGAAGCTGCTGGAACTCAAACAGGCCTGTGGGACACATACAAACTAAAACTGTGATAAGGCTAACATGCTTTTCTAACATGGCTCTATATTGGCCATGATGTGATATACAGTACAGGCAGTGCCATGCTAAGGTTAGTAATACACACATGAATGTTTGCCACATGGTTGCAAATGAACATTGCGGATACACCCATTAACACACACAAGAACACCATGAAAGGTTTAAAAGCCAAAATTGTGAAGACTTATCAGAGGCATGATGCCTCTTCACCCATTGTTAAGATTCATTCATGCTGTAGGTCATTTATGAAATAATGACTCTAAGGAGGATGTGGTGGAGGAACATGTAAACCACAATATTCACCACCAAGGATTCACAACTGTATAGTATCAGATCGGTGTTAGTGACGTATTCAGCAATGTTATTAATACCACTAATGTGGAATTTAATAACCTGTGGTTTCTCAAAACTGTTGACAGCCTGACAGGCTTTTTATTGTTCCTGTCACCTACTTTACAGTATGTCAGAAACGTGTTGTACCAACATCACTTCTCCTGAGATGTTCTGTATTTTGGAAACGATTCCTACATCACACCTTGTCAAAGAAAGAAAATTATGTGGATTTAATCCCACTTGTTTGCCTTACTTTGTCTTGTTAGTTCTGCCTTCCTCTTGTAGTGCATACAGTCCACATGGCCACAAATATAAGGTGACCTACAGACTTTCTCAAGTTATTCCCATTATCCTGAAACTAATTTTGTGGGCACCTCACCTATTATGTTGTTTGTTCCATGGTGTGCTGAGTTGAGCAGGGGCGTGTCTAAAGTTCAAGCAACTGAAATTTGACCCGAGCTGCTCTGACCTTTTGGGCACAGCCAAATGCTGGTGGCTACTGCTTGAGCTGAAAGATGAAAATTAAACTTGATCTGTATTTCTGAACTTCCAGAACATAATTGATTTTACATCAAGCCCACACACAAAAAAATATGCACTTGGTGGGATATCAGCATGCAGATGCAGTTAACCAGGTTAAAAGACACTGTTTGGGTCTCTGAAATTTTGAAAAGTTAGCAGAATACACCTTGACAGTGTGATGAGGACACGGGCAGATGACAACATGTACAAGGTAAAAAAATATTTTCCAGTTGTCTATGAAGCCCATGTTTTCCGGGCACCACCTAGACATTGCTACGTAACTAGCAAAAAAGTTACTAAAAGTAAATGTTCTATGAAATGAAAGTGGAGACTATGGCAATCAAATTAGTCACTCTTGTAGTTTTTGAATTGAAGGTTAATTTTAGTGGTGGCTCGGGCATCTGTTTTGGATGCCTCCTGGGCGCCTTCCTAGGGAGGTGTTCCGGGCATGTCCTACCGGGAGGAGGCCCCTGGGAAGACCCAGGACACGCTGGAGGGACTATGTCTCTCGGCTGGAAGAGCTGGAGGAAGTGTCTGGAGAGAGGGAAGTCTGGGCATCTTTGCTTAGACTGCTGCCCCCGCGACCTGGTTCTGGATAAGCGGAGGAAAATGGATGGATGGATGGATGGAGGGGTTAATTTTAGTGAAATTTTATTCACTGCCGGCTTTTTGATTTTATTTGATTTAATTCTTCAAAGATTTAGCTCAATTTTTAAAGAAAACAAATGCAATCCCATAGAGTTGTACTATATCACAGCAGACTTATGTTGGTGCTTGGTCTGCACAGTCCCTAAAACAGACCATGCCCTCCCCTCAGTCCTATTTGCTTTGACTTTAAGTTGCAGTAATTCAGCAGAGCTGGAGATATTTTTCAGCTGATTTTTCAGGTTTTCAGTCATGAGTGACAGGTTCTCATCAAAGCCATCTGTAGGCAAATATATGCACCGGGTCTGCATGGCAACCTACTGCACCTAAAGTTTGAAAGAATTAGAACACAGTTATAATTAGTCCCCCATTTGATTCTATTTATTGTCAGGTATAATAACTTGTACATTACAAAGAATGACATGTAGAACCAAAGGAGCAACACTTCACTTGAAATAAGAGGTTTG